ATTGTAAATTACATATGATATATCAAACTCTCGCTTCGGTTTTGATGTTGTATATTTGGGTTTTGTAAAAGATGAATGGGTTGTTATCTAAAATATCAATAAATTAATTTCATTCCACAAATGTGTGTTCTATACAAGTTAAATTAACAAAATGAGTTAAAAAAATTTTTTATCGGTTAATCGGCTTAACTAGCTGAACCGTCTTGTATACAAGACGCGTGACGTGGAAAAAACATAACAACACAACACAATAGCAGTACGTAATAATGATACGATCTAGTTGGCGCCTCCAATAATATACGCTTTTGACATACATAAAAATTATAATAACACGATAAAAATACCGAATGTGCGTGCGTGTGTTGTCCTCTGGACTTGACAGCTTCAGCACTGTGAGTCGCTCGTTGTTTTCTCTCGATTTTGATTGGCGACTCGGTGTGTCAGTACTCTGTAAGTAATTCGATGCGGTGGCGGCAACGGGTCCAAGGGCAACGTTCAACCAAAGACATAAACATGAAACGTGTTTGCGCAAGGGTCTCAATTTTTTTTTTAATTTTCGCTTTCCCGACCGTTGCGTACTCGGGAGGCCCCGGGGAGAACGAGTGCGTTTCTTATTTTCACTCTCACTAATTATTATAATTTATAGTATATCGTAATATGTACATAAGATTAGGCTAAAAGATTTATCCACGGGAGAGACTTATTTCAGTTTATTCGTGTATATGGTTATCGGTGACAGTACGATTTTTAGTGTTTATTCAATGTGCTTTTTTCTACTGTTTTCGACCAAATACTTTTTTTTCTACTACCCAACCGTCCGTGATGTTTTCGCATAGTGGATGTTAGCAGCGACGGGGGCCTCGCGTGGGATTTATTATGGTTCATAATTATTATTATTATTATTATATGATTGCGCGTACAACGATTGCTCTTCCACTAGGTCGTACTCAACCCTCAACCACTATGCTGTCGTCCTTCAACATTCCACACTCGATCGTTCTCACCCAACCACCCTCTAACGACGCACTCTGCTACAACAAAACGCATTTTTTTTTTTTTTTTTTTGCTGTAACCAAATCTTTATATTTTGGAGTAACAGTGATCTAGGTAATCATGCGATTACCACCCTTAAGGCTAAAATACCTTGTCGACATTTGGCTCTTATGCAGAAAAGAAATAATTTGTAAGATAAAAAATACAAAATAAATAAGATTTCACGTCGTAAAACTCATATTGTGCAGAATATAAGAGAGAAAATTCATTTTTACAATTCTACCACTATTTGACGTGTAATGTGTGATCGTCACATCAGCCACACACACAAATTTTAACTACTAACCAGTGCAGTACTATTATGGCATATATAAAAACATCACGCAGCGATCCTGTGAAATTGTATTATTTCTATATAATAGTATATATTGTGGAAGTGTGTTCACTGCAACAAGAAACGATCGGAATACAATCTAACGCGACGTTATTTAACAATTTTATCCGTTTTCCCACTTGTTAAATATTAATCTCTGCCGAAATCCGAGTATTGTTATATACGATTAGGGGCTTACGATATTATCATTATTATTATGCAAACGTTTTATTCACGAAATCGGTTAACGCACGCGGGACGACAAGTAGAAAGAGAATCGCAGCGAAACGATATTTCGAAAGTCAACGATATTATGTAGCTGGTCTCCATGTAGACGGGCTATTTGAGACGACTGCGGCAGCGGCTTGGTTGATATACATGATACTATATGGTAATACACATTTATATATATTCTAATACACGGCGGCGAAGGTGTTACAGCGCGGTATGCGGTACGTACGTTTTTTGAACGAAACCGGGAGACGATATTTTAACCCAAACGATGCGTGTAAACGAGACGACCCCTGCCTGCGCCTATATGATACGTTCAACGGTTATGTTAGTTATATGAAAGTGGTAGGTAGGTTATCCTATCCATCGCTTCGGTGAGAGAGCCGGCGGTGTGTACAGTCGTCTATCGTTTGATCATCCCATGGCCGTACAGAATACGTACGGCGCAATATTCAAGTATAAAAAAAAAAAATAAATACCTAAAAAGTATACATAATAATATAATGTATACCTGGTTGCGGACTATCGCCGCCGAAAAAACTCGTACCCCACGCCCGGTTGACCGTTGCTTGTCGTCTGACCCATACAATATATTATAATATACGCAACTACAGCAAAACGACGTGTATACCTAATATTATAATAATATGTTATGTCCGGAATTGCGATTTCACTTGAATCTCTCGATAAGAAAACAAACATAAACAGAATACACACACACACACACATTACCTCTCTCTCTCTCACTCAATCTCTCGCTCTCTCTTTCCTGTATTCATACCTTGCGCATATGCGATTTACACACACGGACAACGAGTTGTGTTATTGCAAAGCTTGTTTCCCCCCTCCCCCCAATCGCCAGAGCGACGGTGGTTTTAATTTGTTTTGCGCCACCGACAAAAAGAAGACGACCTCTATACCTACAATATTATTATTATTGTGTATCATTTCTCGCGATCATTATACCGTCGGTGGAGGTGGGTGGTTGGCTGGATGAAAAGGAAGAATAGTAGTAGTAGTAATAATATAAGGGCAGGGATTTATTAGTAGTCATCGCCGATTATGATGTCTTTTGCACGCGGGAGGAGGAAAACGGCGTGGCTGTAAGTCACTACCTCCCCTCTTACCCGGGGGGTTGTCAGTTGTGTCACACGACGTTTTCTCAATCGTATATCTCTCGTCCGACGACGGCTCCCGACGCTATGCGCTACTACCACGACACCGTCGCGACGTCACACCGCCACTGCGCGCTGCTGCACCGTTACCGACGACGACGACGACCGCCGCCGAGTCCGCCACAAGTGACGGCCACTAACCAGTACCGGTGGTACGCACTCGCGCGTCTGCGTGAAAATTTATGGCGTTGCGTCGCATTGTTTTATTATATTATGTACATATATGCGTACTAAACGCGACGATGGCGGCGGGCCCATATCGTCGAGATTTATTGAGTAATCACGGGCACATATTTTTCTCCCTCCTATGGCGTGGTGCATATTTCATATTATTATTTATATTTGGTTGATACAAAAATTCAGTCACGTACCCGACATCCCCAAGTGAGCGTCCGACCGAGTGCGTGCGCGTGCGTGTGTGCAATCTCGTGCGCGCATAAAGAAATATCGAGTTGGCGAAACAAAGGACGGTAATGGTGGTAGTGGTAGTGGGGTAGGTGGTGGTGGTAGTTGAGAAGAATGCGGTGCGCAACATATGATTTAGACCACCGGCATTATGTATTATATACGTATACTATGGTGTGTGTGAGCTGCTGTGAGTGAGACGAGATGACGCGGTACACGAGAGAGAGAGAGAGAGAGAGAGAAAGAGAGACCAAACTGCTTTGGCCCCGGGCGTCTAGACTATTATGCGTTTGTATGTGCTTATATCCCGACTAGACCCGAAGTGCGCGCGTTGTCTGTCGTAAATTGGAGTATAAAAAAACAGTCTAAAAACTACAACGCCCCCGACCACGCAGCCATCAATATTTTCAATTCTGTCGAAATTCTCCGCGCGTGCAATATTTGCTCAACATCCCGTAAGATAAGCTCTAAAGCTCTATTCGGTCCATCGCATTATAAGCAAGTTATCCGCGTTATTGTAGCAACCCGAAGCATCTCATCTTCACGTATTTTTTGGGGGAATTCGACACTCTAGCCACCACTAGGTGATACGCATTTGAATGATACATGTAAACATAGCTATATGTACTATATACGTACATACAGCCGTACCTATACGTTTTTTTTTTCATGTACATATTATCGTCTGAAAACTCACCGCTCTGTATAGTATATTTTTTACATACCTATCTATATACTTGCACACACGCGTCTATTTATCGTATCATCATTATTATTATTGTTGCCACGCAGCTCTTGAGCACTCTCGGACGGCACGTATCATCATATACATAATGTAAAAGCATAATAGGTACAAGCCTCTGACGGATTGTCCGAGTCCCCGAAAAAACAACATGTGCATACATTGCGCGTGCGCGCACACACACACATAACAACACGACGACGACGACGCGAGTACATTATAAATATGATTTGTAATATGTTTACGTATTGTGCGCGCACCGGTCGATTTCCACATCGCGTCCACACGTGGATTATACCACGAGCTCACACAATATAATAATAATAATAATAATAATATATACTCGTCGTAATAACAATATTATTATACATCTAAACATCTCGTCTTGTTACCGCGTGCCCCCCGGAGTAGCGCCGTTAATAAACGGGCGCGAGGTAGTCTATTCTCTGTGGTCCGCTGTGGCGCGGGGAGGATGGCCGTGCTGATCATGTCTCCGGGCGCCGCGCGACCATCGCCGCGTCTCGGAAGAGTGGTATGATAATAATAATAATAACAACAGTAATAATAACGTAATAATAATAATAATAATGTTATAATAATAGTATATAAAGCATAATATAATATACGAAAACGTTGAAATATTATCGTGTACACACTAGTTTCGAGTACGGTCGCCGCCACTGTCGCTGTGGTATTTTTAATGGTAGTTTTCGGCCGAAGGGTGACGCGTGAGAGCAAAAAAATAATTTATTATATTTTATGTTGTTTGTCGAAAAGTATCGACGATTCCCTCTGCGGTAAAGGATACTGCGAAATTAACTGTAGTCGTAGTCGTCGTTTCCGTTTTATTTATATATGCTTACAAAACTAGTCCTTAATATTATCATAGTATAATACCAATACACTTTATATATGGCTACCCGCTGCGCATTTGCATACATAGTATTATGTAATGTTCTAAAGCATCGTTATTATAACGTTAAACAATATTGTATATTTGTGTTTCATTACTAGACATTGCAATTCATATTGTTATTTAAATATATGATATTAACATGTACTGTTTGCGGTTGTGTTTCAGACTATAAATTTTGTTCGTACAAGCCCAGCGTGATCGCCGGGGCCAGCATCGCGGCTGCTCTCAATGGACTGGAATACGCGGCCATTTATAAGTACGACTTGTTCACTAAGCTGCACGCCATCACTGGTTCTCAACAGGTAAGCGGTTTTTTTTTCTATTCTATCAATAATATTATGCTGTTTAATGAGATAATACTCACGGAACGGCGCGATGAAAAGCGTATAAATTATGACGATTTTGCTCGGGTAAATTTTCTTTTTAGGGAAGGGAAATAGTAAATAATTTTTAAAAATTATGCCTTGAAATATAATAGGGGTGGAACTGGTGGAAGTGACATCTTTCTATCAGGGAAATAAATTTTCAATGAAAATAATTTACAACAAAATTTACTATTCATAATACAAGTACTTGAAGTTTTGTAAAATTATATAATTAATGAAAATATAATATTATATAGATAGTTAGTATATAATATTAATATTATGTTATGTAAAAGTTTGTATATATATAAAAAATATTTAGACTGAAACTTAAAAAAAAAAATATCTTTGTCCTCTTTATACATTTTTTAGGGCAACTGTTCTCTTTAAGAAGTCCCAAAATTACGACTATACGTATAGTTATACCTCTTCAAGAGAAAAAATATTTATAAAGATATAAAGCTTCAAAAATATGTTTTAATGATATTTTTTTATAATCATCTATTTATTATATATTCTAAATATTTAACAAAAAAATAGAATAATATTACTTATTAGATTTAGTTAAACGTCAAGCGGGTTCGTGACTTATATAATCGCAATAATAGTTTTAATCGTAATGTTTCGCATTAACTTTGCCGCAATCCGCAAATAGCCTTAATTAGCCTATCTGCACAAAGTAGGGTTTGCACGATTGCAAAATCGTACAAGTTTTTATGGGGCCCGCTCTAATTCATCTTTCTCTATAAAGATTATCGCGTGCGCATGCATGCAACCATTAAAATTTCAGATGATCGTTTGACACGAACTAAACGCTCGTTTTAGCGCATACTAACTGCCATAGTTAAGTACATTCGATACAACGACGGTATAATTATAATCATAATTATTATTATTACCACTATGGTTGCCCGTGTGTGATGTTTTCATTCGACTTCAATCGGATGTTATTTAACAGCAATCTTGCTTTTACCCCGCCACCGACGCAATTCGTCGCAATTGCGCGTATTTAAAATTTAAACTCTCCACTCTCACCTATCATCGTCATCATACACATTCTTTTATACCGTGTAATTAATATTATGCACTGAATAAAAACTTAATAATAATAATTCTTCCTGCTCTGAACTCGTGCTAATGGTATTTACTAGTAAAACATCGTGCCACCGACGACTCTATTGAATTAATTAAACCTTCACGTTTAACACTACCTACCGTTGAAATATTTTATTCCAGCGTAGTATAGTGCGATATTTGTCGATTTCTTTCATTCCTAACCTCACCGTCTGAGACGCGTTTGTAAAGCTTTTTATTAATCATGCGCTGGTTGTTTTTTTTTTCTCAGGAGGACCTGAAGTCGTGCCAAGAGCAAATCGAAGCAATGGTCGAAGGCCACAAGAGAAAACGCAAAGAAATGGATTTCGAAATGTACGAAAAGCCGTACGACAAGACTGCCGAGTCGGACGATACTACAAACTGTTGGATTTGAGATCGTCATCAGACTTACAAAAATATATTTACGAGAAAAAAAACTACAAAGGAAAAAAAAACAAAACAATTTTTATTTTATTATTACTATTATACTCCACAGTAATACATTTCACTTATTACAACCAATCGGTGATAAATCATCGGTTCATGTATTACACATTTACACACAACAATATTATAAAATGCTAAATAATACCTATATTGCTTAAGGTACTCGCAAACGGTTAAATTTTTGACTTTTAGAGACACTGTAATATGATTATTAGTAGTCTTAAGATTAGGTTTTATGATTATTTTGACTTTATTATTATTATTTTTTAATGGGGAAGGCAATAAAATACGCTTCATGTTTCCGTACATATAATTTTTATTATAATAAGATTATTATTATTATTCACAGCAACTCCGGTTTATTAAATAGTGATTGTAAAGGTGATTGTTTATATACCATATAATATAAAACCAATTTTCAAGCTCAATGTAATATATAAACAAAAAAAAAAAAATCAATTTTCATAAAAATATCCTAAATAGATTTTATGAATCACAGCCGATCGCGGCTAACGTACACGATACTAATAATGTATATTATACAATATCGTGTTATGTATTTTATTTGTTCTGTTTATAATACTGAGATTTGATTTAAATGTACAGTAATAAGTGCCTATACGGCTACCTATATAATCAACAGATTCCTAAAATTTATTAAATTTTAAGTTTTATCAAAATAGATAGTTATTATATAATATATTATTTACTTAAATTTTTTTTAGCGTTTAAGGTAGATTCGCCGACCAAGAGTTCAGCACATGGTTGGTGCGATATTTTTTTTTAAAGATCTCTTGCGTCGGCAGTCTTTTTTTATATTTATAAATAAAAAAGCTCAAGATTCCATTGATAAACAAAATATCATTCACGATTGTTGCTTTCTTTGTATTTCCGAACGTTTACACATTTTTATAATATTTTTTTTCAAGTTTTTACACACGTACTAATAATATTCACTGTTTTATTTTCAAATTAAAGAATAAAAAAAAAATTAAAATTAACGTAATTTAAGATATATGATCCACTGGTAATACCGAGATAATTTAATTAATTTATTATTATTTTTATTATAATTATTATATATATTTTTTTCTGTTAACATTAAGAGTTTTATAATAAGTATTTTTAAGTATGTAGCATACACCGTTGTTCTATTATTCACATTGCCCCTCTCCATTATCTATTATTTGAAAATTCGTTGATAAATCCACGGAGATAAACGATAGAAATCACGTCTTCCACAGGCTTCAAATCCGGGCGAAGCTATTGACTTCCCGAGATTTGTCTCTCTTTCACTCTCCCCAAATTAGCTCCGTTATGTGTATTCGGATTATAATATATATGCATAACTACGGGACGTAGGTTAACGGTTCGGACAAGGAAGGACAAAATAAAAAGGAAAAACAAATACTTTTTTTTATATACACACGAATCACATATACATACCTTAGTTCCAAGCTGATTTATTTTATTTTTTTCCATATTAGTAGTTGTAGTGGAAATAGTAGTATTATTATTAGTATTATAATACTTTATAATAATAAATACTAATAGTAGCCCATATTATAATATATAAGTCCTAGATGTGTCCCGAACCGAGTATAAAATACATATAACCCCGTCCCGACTGCTAAAATCCGATAGTTAATCGGGAAGAAGGGAGGAGCGTAACGTTTGGGCCTCGTTATAATTATTTTAGAATGTAAGTTGCACCATAAACACAAACACACTTTCATTTAATGTTCTAATAATATATAATGCATATTATAATATACCCTTTGGTGAATTTTAGTTGTTTAGAAAAAAATTTATATAATATTATTTAATACTTTCATATTTATATATATACATATATAACTACCCAAGTTGAATTCTATATAAATATAAATAATAAAACTTAAAAAAAAAGATTCTACTAATCGCTATAGTTTTGCACTGTTATCAACGCAGTTGTTTTTATTATTATTATTATTATTATTATTACATTTTTTTTTTATATATATATATATTTAAAATTTTTTTTCCACTCAGGCTATTTCAACTTTTATTTTCTCCCGATTTATTTCTACGGCCTTCGCACTACTGTTAAGTGTCTGAAGGTAGTGGAAATACATTTTAGAATTGTTACCAACCGAAATAGTCAAATAAATCTTTGGAATATGATAGATTATAATACCATGTTTTCATTTTATTATATATTTATAAATTTTTTTTTTTAAAGTATATCGTAAATATTAATGTTTTGGTCTTGTAGAGAACAAGCGACATCTGTTTCTATATTAAGTATATGTCTACACAGATATTTATACACATATTTACACATATACATACATATATATATATATATATATATATATAATATAGTTGATAAGCATATTAAAGAAAATATAAAGTAAAGATTTAAGATACTGTTTTTTTTTTTCAATGTTATATTACAGTTTTTATGTATATGTATATGATATATTATTATTATTATTATTATTATTATTATTATTATATTCACTATGTTGTCATGTGCTTCTTTAATACAAGCCGTAAAAATCAAGCTATGATAACTTTTTAACTTTTTTTTTTTTTTTAATGGTAATAATTAGTACAAATATTTATAGACTAACGAATTCGTACATCGAATGCCAAGTTTTATGTGTTCCCGTAAAGAAAACAATAGGACTTAGATAAGACTCAAACGTTTAAAATTTCGTTTGAAAATACGCTTACGTTTTTCTTTTCTTTTAAATCTATGTTGGTCATATATACAAACGCATAGACTTTTCGTATTAGATGTATAAGTTGAGTCAATCTGGTCATGTTTGCTCTGTTTTCTTTTTTTTACTGTGCCATAATATAATAGTACCTAAACAAAATTCACATTAATATGGTATAATATGTTCATATTGCCATTATTAATACACCATTTTTATTTAATACACATACTACCTATATATATATAAAAGTAAATTATACATTTTTTTTCGTATTTCAATGCCTGTTGTTAATCGTATTTTACATGTCGTCTGCAACGCAAAAAGTATTTGCACAGCATTTTATTATAAAAAAAATAAATAAATATATATTTATACTTATCTGGACATATTTATCAATTTGTAAGTAGATAACCACCGCATCATATTGTTAGGCAGTGGTTAAATACATTTATGAACTTTTTACATGTAACGATATATTATTATTTACACATTATATTGATATTTTTGTACTTATTCGTTTTATTGTAAGGTCAATATTATACTACAATATCAATAAAGAAAAAAGATTTACTGAAATTAAAATTTATTTGTTGTTTTTATATTTATATATATATATACACAATATACTTGTATAATGTATATATGTATTGTTTTAATTCGGAAAAAATTAGAAGGGGAATAATTTAAAAGTGTAAAAACATACAAACAATAATGATATACCGTGTAACCAGACTATATTAATGTCTTATTGATTAAGATATAACTAGTTGGAAGTGTTACGCTAAGACTTTTTTAAGAATGAAAGGGACTTACTCAATTTACTAACCGTAATATATAAGACGCCAATGTACTTCGTACAACCGTACTGATAAGTATCCTCCGTTGTAGATCGATGATCCGACAAGATCGTGTGAAATCATTGAAATGATGACAGTTAACGCCTGATAAAAATAGTTTATCTTGTTGTGTTTCAAAAACTGATGAAGTTTGGATTTTTCAAAATACGTAGTCAGATTTTAAATTGTAACCATCAGTATGTAAAGTATAAAAAACGTATAAAAATTGTTAAAATGCATTTTCATGTGGTTAAAAAAATATAAGTTAAAAATAAGTAAGCAAGTCGATGATAGACTGCTATAAACAATATATGTTGATTGTATCTATAGTTACAAGATTATTGAGTAAAGGTATCACTTTAAGGGATGTTTTCAATTTGAATTTTAATATTTTCAATGATTTCAACAGCATACAAAAAACGATTCTAATCGGAGTCGGTCTATCATCCTAAGTATAACTAAGTAGTTTATTTTATTACATATTTTTATTAGCAATATAAATTCTATTAATATTTATTTTATAATTATATTATATTTATATATTAATAAATATAATTTTATTATTAATAACTGGAAGTTCCTACTCGCTTAGCCACCTTTTAATCTTGTTTATTCTATGTAACATTCACTTTCACTTGACTAACAATTCCCATGAACGAAATACTACCACTGGAGTTTATATCAGCATTCTGAAAATTAAAAAGAACTAGTGAAAATAAATTATTTTAAACTATAATATTTTGTCCAAAATTTTTATTAATTGAATAATCACCGCGGTACAACGAATATTTTAATTTTCTTGAAGTTATATTAGGATTTATACGTCATGGTTAAAATGTTTAATTTTTTTCTAGGAGATACCAAATATTTGTAGATATTTCTTTTGTTTTTAAAAAGCAATACATTACAATATGGACATTTTTCTAACGTGTAATCCATGTCTAAATAAGGTTCCTCTGTTTTTTCTTTCTTTCATTAATTTTTGTTTCTTTGAATTTTTTTTTTTTTTTTGTCACTGTGATATTTTTTTTTTTTCACTAACAGCGAATGGTTTACTAATCTCAATATACCGTTATATTAACATTACACAATTTTCGAAAACTTTCAAAGAGTTTCACCGCCGGTAGATGATGCAAATAAACTAGTATAGTCCGGACCGATTAATATTGTATATTATTACTATATACACGTGGTAATGTAGTATGTAATATATATTATTTTTCAGGCAGAAAATAAATCCTAGGTGACGTTGTATTTGAATTTGTTCCACGTAGGAAATGAATAAATGAATACCTACATTTGGGCGCTGTCAGCGGTAATCAGTGATCGTCCGGGATCGGAGTCGAAATATTTTCACTGTGAAAAAGTAAATCAAGTGTATACACGTCTAATGGTTATTGGATACTGCAAGTTAAGTATCTCTGTCGTTGGTGTATACCATCTAAGTATTACTATCTATACTTGTGCAGACGACGACGGGTTCCACGTAAACGTCTCTTCTCCTCGACCAACGATTGTTGTTTATCATCCCTTCGTGTTTTTTTTTTTTTTTATGCGTCTTTATATTACGTTCATCACGAAATGCGTCTATTGTATTATTATATTGTTATCCGACTGTATGCTGGTGTCATACGGTAAGTTAACCGTTTATATATTCGATATTTTTTGTTATTCAAAAAGTGTTTTCAATAGAATTCTTGAAGAACCCAGCAAGAAAATATGCTGTTGGTATTTTCCCGTGTGACAAAAATATAAAAACTCATTATTCAAACGCGTTGGCGATACATAGTGATAAGTTACATATTTATTTATACAATATAAACCTTAAAGGTAGTAACTACCACCGTGGTATAAGAGGGTCCTGAAGATTAATTGTTTATTGCTACAAGTTTCGGAATATTATGAGATTTCAAAACGAATTTACTACGAATTGTACGAAATATTCGATATGTTCGAAAAAAAATTTAATAATGTACATATATTTAGTTATCATTAGGGTACAGATTTGAATTCCCAAAAAAAAAAAACAAGAAGAAAACTTAGTATACATAATAAAAATATATGCCAAAGCAAAATAAATAACTTTTAAAGCTTTTTTTATTTTTAGTATATTATTTAACTTTTTTTTTTTTAAGAGACAAATTAATTCAATTTTACCAAAAATATATAGAAAATATGTTAAAGATGCAAAATAAACATTTCATTTTTTAATTCAAAGAATTATAAAGTTAATATTATGCTTGGAAAAACATCGTCTTAGAGCTACCAAACAAAAGCAATTAGCGTTTATATCCGCATTCTTGTTACTTATGTGCAGGGCTATGAATTGGATATTGATAGATTTAATTCTAAACGCGAAATATGTGGGATACACATTTTATGCAATACAATACCATTTTTAATACAAGCGTATTCAATGTACATATAATCGCATAAAACTGGTTTTTCAAAATGTTTTTATCGCATATTTTGGGGGAAATAATAAATGTGGCAACATGGCGTTTTACATCAATTTATATTCGAAATAATATTCAAGTATAAAAGATTACGACATTTTAAATATTATAAATATTTTTTATACATTTTTTCAATAAATATAATTGTTTTCGTAAAGTTAGTTTTTTTTAATTTCAGTATATATTTCAGGTCTAACTTCTATTTGTTTTCTTTATTTTAATTTTAATATAATTATTATATTGAAAATAAAAAAAAAACCCACAATCTAGGTATGTATATAAATACTATAATAATAAAAAATTAAAATTTCTTTTTAAAAATGACATAATATGATTATCTTATTTTCATGCAAAACAAATTATTAACGGTTATGTGCTATAATTTACAAGCTTGCCGCCCATGATAGTTATTATTTATTAATGTTATTATAATATACAGTGTGCGATTTCGTGATAATGAAATCTATGACTTTATGTGTATAGTATCAATTATATACAGATATTAAAAATTAAATAAGATTTTCCTCGTCATTCCAAGCTTAAAATATGAAGAAATTAAATTTTTAAAAGTTTTTACATATCATATTTTTATTGTTTGTATTTATCGAAAGGTAAACGGTATCTGATTTCTTCTGAAACGAATGTTGCTTACTGAAATGTGTTTACACTAAACAGGTGGTTGATAAAAAAAAACTAAATTTATTTATTGTATCAACATTTTATTAAAAATAAATCATTTATAACATGGGTATGTGAAAAACATATTTTTCTTCTTTGTTTATAGTAGTACATAGTTAGTTCTTCACATCTAATAAA